CATTTGATTCTTATTGAGAGGAGCCATCAAAAATTATTCAAAGAAATAAAGAAGCATCGATTCCTATATTGTAGAGGATGTCAATCTGTGACTCTTGATACCATAAAGAAGGATTTCAAAGAATAATTTTGATATGATTTTATTCAAAGAATAGTACAGTATATCTACAATCAGAATTCTATAATTCCTCATCTATTAAAGAAATGACAACTGCATAAATTAAATTACAACCGTAATATTATTTAAATTACATATAGTCATAATTTTTTTATTATCTAATATTAACTAATATAATATTTCACATATCCTAATAACACTTTTGTTGAGTTCCTTAAATATGTTAAGAGAAATTCAATTGCTTGACCATAAGTATAAGAATAATTTTATAAATAAAACTCACTTTAATAATCGCTATATCTCGAAAAGAAATAGTAGTATCCAGCATTATTAGTTCAAACAAAAACAAGTAAAAAAGAAGTCTAATTCCATACAAGGCATGCCCTTAGCAGGCCCTAGTGGTATGTCATATTATTTCGTAGGGCAGGAATAAGGAATAAGGACAAGTTGAATATCCCAAGAGCACTGCTCCAATATCACTCGCCATGGCAAAAAATAAAGTCCAATATAATTCATTGAGAATACCAAGATGAAAAGAACATAGATCATAGCAGAATTAAATGTAGACTACGGGTTGGCACCCTTTCTCGTGCCCAACGGTGATCGATCATGTCATGCATGCCTCTGAGATAATTGAATTGAAACCAAAAACAATACTTTAACGTTTATCTACCATAATTCAGATTGAATTGTTTGTATCAGGATTACAATCCACCCCTCCCCAATCATGCCCCAGCCAATGTTTGGTTCCTAACAAATCGATGTTAGCATTTAAACAGTAAAATGTTTAACATGGGCAGAAACAAACTCCTCGTATGGGAATAAATTCATAAGCTTTCAATCATTCAATCTAAAAAAAAAAATTTAAAAAATCGTAACACTCGAGAACTTAAATAAATCATCATGTCTGCCAAAGAAATTGAGTTAACAGTGTCACCACTCACCAGGCAATATTGCAAGCATGTCTTAATATAATGATAACTTATGTCAAAAAAAAATTACAATAATTACAAACATATCTTACATTACGATAATTACAAGCATATCTTACATTACGATAAATAGCCACTACTTTCTGTTGATACTTCTTACACCTGGACATTCACAAATATTTACTTTCATGTCATTCCAAATCCTTACAATTTCTCCCTAGTGCTTATGTCATCATTGAGTCATCAATCCTATTCGCATTTTGTTTAGTACCAAGTCGATAACAGAGCCCTTTTGTATAGAAAACATAATCGAGCTTTAGATTTTCTTTTGTAAAAGAGAATCTTGAATAATTAAGCTAAACTAATCCTTTACGCCGTTCATCATTTCGGGAGAAATAATAAACACATCCTTCACGAACTTTCCAACCCAATTTCCTCAACCATTTGCTCAAAAATATTCAAATAACGTTTAGGACAAAATAAACAAAAATGTCACCAACATAAACCTCAATATAAATACCTAGGAAATAAAACCTCTAGTCTAGGTTTACAACAAAAAAGAAAACTGAATATGAAAATAATAGGAACGCTATTCTTGTAAATATCATTAGGATAATGGAGAATGTAAACACAAGCAGAAATAATTCTTGCTACTCAAAGCTTTTCGAAACCCACAACTCTGCGAAGCTCACCCTGTCGGTAGAAAGACGATATTTGCCTATTCGACAAACATCGTTATATTTGTTAACAGGTGAGAGGACCCTCCAACCAGTACCTTGTGACATAAATATGTAATTATTTATAATCATGACCATTAACTTCATTATACCCACAAGACTTTTTTTCCTCTTTCAAAAAAATGCAATAACGATGATTTTAATACAAATAAGATCAAATTCACTGTCAAATAAGAAAATAATTACTAAAAAAAACAATAAAATGACATACATATTATATCCGGATGCAGCTGCTGCAAAATAAAACGATCCAACTATCATCTAAGAGAAATAGGTTACAATATGTCTAGGATTAAAGAGTAATAAAATAAGAAATTTGGAAAGAATCAAGGAACCTCATTTCAAAAGGTAATTAGTTTAATCCATAATCCCATGTGAATACATAAGAATTTTAACTACTAAAAAAATGCAACAGGGATGTATTTTTATGGGATTACTCCTTTATCTATCCATTAGATTAAATAAATTAAGTATTATTTTAACTACTAATAGATATTGATTAAGGTAGTATACTATTACTACATTTGAGAGCTTGAAAATCAACGACATATACTCTGACATAATTGAGTACAACACAATGCACAGATCAAGATGTAACGCTGCTATTTTCTACTCTCTACAATGGAGGAATCTGATACATGAGCACAAAAAAGTCAAAAGAGAAGCGCATTGTAATAGTTACTAAAAAGATAAAAATGAAAAGTAATCATAAGCAATATATGAGTTTTTTACTCAAACAATACTATTTTAAAAAAAATTTACCCAAATAGCAACTGTGCAAATTTATTTCCTCAACTAGCACCATTTACTATTCACGTTTCGGAATGGGCCATTCTAAAATCAGAACGGCTCGTTCTGATTTCAGAACGGCCCGTTCCAAAACATGAACAGTAATTGGTGCTAGTTGGGGAAATAAATTTGCACAGTTGCTATTTGGGTAAAAAAAATTTAAAATAGTATTATTTGCTTACTTTAATGATCTAACTGTCAAATTAAAAAAAATTAATTCACAGATTAAGTACACAAATTTTAAAAAAGTACACAAATTTTAAAAAATTTAAAAGTTATTTTATCCTTGTTTCATTAATTCAAATAAACGAACAAAATATTTTTATGATTATCCATTAATTTGAATTAATGAAATAGAGTATCAAATAATTTTCAAACTTTTTAAAATTTTGCGAACTTGATTCATGTATTAAGAATTTTTAATTTAATGGTTAAATTGTTAAAATTTGATGTAAAACATGAATTATTCAGTGAAATAAATATAGATAGACTTATTTTTAGAGTAAGTGAATGCCTCCTTATATATATATATATATATACCCAAATAGCAACTGTGCAAATTTATTTCCTCAACTAGCACCATTTACTATTCACGTTTCGGAATGGGCCATTCTAAAATCAGAACGGCTCGTTCTGATTTCAGAACGGCCCGTTCCAAAACATGAACAGTAATTGGTGCTAGTTGGGGAAATAAATTTGCACAGTTGCTATTTGGGTAAAAAAAATTTAAAATAGTATTATTTGAGTAAAAAAACTCGCAATATACGGATGATAAATATATATATATATATATATAAATTAATTCACAGATTAAGTACACAAATTTTAAAAAAGTACACAAATTTTAAAAAATTTAAAAGTTATTTTATCCTTGTTTCATTAATTCAAATAAACGAACAAAATATTTTTATGATTATCCATTAATTTGAATTAATGAAATAGAGTATCAAATAATTTTCAAACTTTTTAAAATTTTGCGAACTTGATTCATGTATTAAGAATTTTTAATTTAATGGTTAAATTGTTAAAATTTGATGTAAAACATGAATTATTCAGTGAAATAAATATAGATAGACTTATTTTTAGAGTAAGTGAATGCCTCCTTATATATATATATATATATATATATATATATATATATATATATACTTTTTTGTATATCCTCTTAAAGAATACCAACAAATACCATATAGTACCACTTATGACAAGGCACCCGGTATAGTCTCTTCGCTCTCTCTTGCCAATAGTAGGAGAAAATCCATCCATGGCATTTAAAAAAAGGAAACTAAAAGTCTAAAATCAGTTTGGTTAACAAAATAGTTGATACAAAATATTTGGCTTTCACCTGTTTGAAAAAATAACATTACACCTGTGTCCTGTCTCAAGCCAGAAACTGAAAACAACAGAAAATTGACACATGCAAGTACAAGTTTGTTGGTCAACCATATCCTAGGAACAATTTCTATGACATTTCATTTATTGCGCAGCAGAAGACAGTTTTGTAAAGCAGTGGGTTTGAATTTTAAAAGATGAGCATTAACTAAGGCTTCCTGAGAAATATCATATTCATAGTAATAAGAAATCACTTTCGGAATGTGGAAACTGTTATTGTGTTAGGATACCTCCTAGAATAAAATTTGACCCTCAAAATCATGGTTTAAAATTAAAAAGTTGAAGTAACTACATGTTACTTTAGCCTTCAAAATGGTTGTGTAATTGATTTTGATAGAAATGAATGTTAATACAAACACATTATAACTATTAGCTTCTAAAATTACTTACAAGACAGAAAAAATCATATGTGGAACCAACTAACCAAGCATGCTATCAATCCAACAGTGTTCAAATGGTGAAAATTCTACATTATTGGACAAAACGATGCACAAGATAGAAATTTTTCCTGTACTCCACTTATATATCATAGTTACCAATCCTAGTCCCTAGATCACCACGGGGAACAGCCAACCCAAAAGCACTATGGCAGGATAGCGCACACACAAATAGACACATAGACAGAGAGACACGCGCACACAGAGACACGGGTCACAGAGAGACAGTCTGATAGTCACAGAAACAGCCAGACACGGAGAGAGAGAGAGACCTGTGAGCTGTTAAGCATGAATGGAGAGTGTGAATGTACAGTATCTTACAGACATTGAATCTTAGTTGGCATCATAGATCATTTATGAGTTTGATCATACTGTGCCAAATCTTTAAGCATTCTCCTCTGTTATTCAGACTTCAGACAGCTGAAGAGGTGTGGCCGTGTGGGTGGTAAAAATAATTAACATCCTGTTTTCCTTATTCGCATAATCTTAATGAATATTCATTAGCAACTTCTTTTTTCATTTAGCAATTTAAGATAATACCAATTAAGGAACCTTAGGTCAGGATAGACAAAATCAATCAGGTGAAGTTATATCGCTGAATAAGAGAATCAGGGACAATTAATAAAGTCCAAAAAGAGAATAAAATTAACAAAATGAAGAATTAAGGCATCATCGAGTTAAAAGGCTAAACCACAAAGTAAAAGAGTTTCCAGCATGAACTTAAACCTCAAAATACATCTTTCCTAAAGCTTCAGGGAATCTGAGAAGCACCTATCTCCAAAAGCAATGGTAGAAGGAATATACATGTTAAGAGGTTAAACTAGTCACAAAAAACCATCTAATTTTCAGCACTCTCGACTGCTGCCTAAATAGAATGTGCAACTCATGCCTACCCAGTACCACTACTACCCACCAATTGGCTAATGGGTCCATTGAGCAAATTCTGGTTACCCAAAAAAATACCAATTAATGACATTGCAACAAAATGAGACACACATTATTGAACACAAAAACTTCATACTTGAACAGAACTCTCTTTCTCTTCCACCAGTGGCGACACTTGAAGGCTACCCTCATCCTCGTCACCACAAGTATTGCTCATGATCCTCCTCGCGTCTTTGTCACAACCATGCACCACCACACTGTCAAAACCAGCATTCCCGGAACAGTCCTCAGACTCATCACCCCATTGCTGTTTCTTGCACAACACATCACAGAAAAAGTCTGTCATAACAGACTCATAACCGGGCATTTTTGCATACCCGGGGAAGTAATTGATATCAACAATAAGGTAACGATTCCCACATCGGGAATCCCTAATAACATCGAAATTAAACAGGTTGAGCCTCATCACGCGCCTCAACCCCCGAGCTATCTGAGTAACGAAGCTCAGGGGAGGCATTTCGGTATCATCCAACTGCATCTTCTTATAATACCTATCGTCGATTCTCTCATCGGTGGCCAAATTCGACACCTGCGAGAACGACAACAAGTCCTCCGAAACCCTAACCAACTCCTCCTCCTCCACGTCCGGCAAGGACTTCCGCTTCACGCACCGCACGCGCTCCCCGACCACGTACACCTTGAAGATCACGCCGCCGTGGTTCACGAACTGCTGCACCACCACCGGCGGCTTCAGCGAATTCAACCCGTCGTGGTTGAAAACCAGCGCCATTTTGTGCGACTTCGCGCTGCCGTCGGCCACCAGCGGCTTCGCGATCACCGGAAACTTCAGCGCCTCCCAGCTCCGCTGGTCGACAAGCGTCTCCTTGTCGTATATCACAGTCTGCTCCGGAATCCCAAAGGTCTCGCTCGGGTCTTCGATTCTCAGCTCCGACACGACCTGCAGCATCGAAATCCGGTTGTGGAGCCTCTCGATCGATTCCGGCGAGTCCAGGATGACCGCATTAGGGTAGTTGGCGGTGAATTCCGTTAGCTGGCGCTTCCAATCGTCGCCGTAGAGCTTGTGCAGGACGCAATCGAATGGGCCCTGATCCGTTAGGTTGAGGGTCGGGTCCACCCGAACCAGGTCTATGCCGCGAGATCTCGCGAGATTAACGAGCGAGTCTCGGATGAAGCTGTTTTGCTTCTTGGGCGCTAAAGCGTATCCGACGCGGAACCGCTTCTCCTCCGCCATTGGTTTTTCTGTTCGAAATGCGGAACGAACGAACGCACGCTCATGCAAGGTCGCGAGCGAATCGCATTGGCGAGGTTTTGGGGGAATTGGATTGGGGTTTTGTGATTCGACGTCGTTTTGGGGAAACAGAATTTTGCAGATATGAGAATAGAGAAGGAGGGAGCGAGGGAGGGAAAGGATATGTACGGAGTGGGAGGATATATATAGCTTAGACTAGGGTTAGTGCGGGCGGGGGTGATAAAATGACCGGGTGAGTTTGAAAGACGAGGGTGGGGTACACGTGGCGATGTTGCTTGGGGTGTTACGTGGATTCGCGCCGCTTAATGAAGCGCGTGTGGGATCGTACTGAAACGACAAAGGGGCTCGAGAGTCAAAGTCAAACCGTGATAAGATTTTGGTGGTGTTTGGTGACAGGGAATAGATAGGAATGGAGCTACCATAAAGCCATTATGGGACATTTTTAGTTATCATTTAATTACTCGCTTTTCTTTATAGTCGTACAACTTTTATTTCTTTTTAGTTCCTTCATTTGAAAAATATAATATATGTTTTTAGTTATAATATATTATATAAACTCTTTTTATTATATTTCTTAAAAAAATTAACACCATTAATAATAGATAGACTTTTCTCTCACTACTACTGTAATTAATAGGGATATATTTATTATTGATATTCATTAATATAAAGAAATTTTACAGTTTTAATATTTAAAGAATATTTTATAATGAATTGTGTTCTGATTTTTTAATGTCAAAATTAATTAAATTTTTCTTAATTTATACATTCATAAATTACTTTTTATATTTCATTTTATTTAATATTTTAACATTTTTTATTTGTTTCAATTCGATCGTTGTTTAATTATTGATAGAAATTCTAAAGGTGGATATAATGGAAGTTATATAATTTATTATATAAAATTAAACATATTAATGAAATTTCTTAAGTCTCGTAGTCAAACAAAATGGAACAAAAGAAGCATTCAACTACTACAATTAAAATTAGTAATGTAATTATTAAAAAAGTAGATAGTAAATTTGTATAAAAAGTAATATAATTATTATAATCATTAATTTATGTATAAAAACTTTAAATCATATTCATTGTGAAATGGGAAGGTAACATGATCCTAGCATGTCACTGTGAAAGATAGTTGTTTTTTATTTTATATATTTTTTTCATTTTATTCTCTCTATCTTTTATTATAAAAAAATTCAGATATTAATTATTTGTAATAAATTTTACTAATTTTACAGCATTCTTTTAAAATTATTTTTTTATAAATATTAAAATAAATAATATAACTGAAATGTCATGCATTAGAATAAATATATTTTAGAAAAAATGATAAAAAAAATAATTAAATTTCACTTAAATTTAAGAAAAAATGTGTCTTTTTCTTTATAACAAAATATAGAGGAAATGTTTACTAAATATATTATTAGAAGAGAGTTATTGTATAATTTAGTAGACAAAAACATCTAAAAAGAATAGAGACAAAAATAGAATATCTACTTCATTTATGTTTGTTTATACATTTTTCCAATTTATGATTGAGTGGAAAAAATATCTTAAAAAATAGGGACAAAAATAGTGTTTATTATTATTAGGTTAAAATCCTTATTTGGTCCCTTATAATATTTTTTTGTTTCAGTTTAGCTCCACTTTAATTTTTTGTTTTAATTTGATTTCCAATAATTAAATTATTGTAATTTGGGACTTCCTTCCAAATGATTTAAACGGAATTAACTGTTAGCCACGTGGATGTCAGGTGGATGCCACGTAGATGTATAGGTGGACGCCAAATTTCATGAATACACCTGAAACCAGAATGGCCCGTTCTGAAACCAGAACGGCTCGTTCTGCTTTCACACGTTATGTGTTAATTTTACAACTAGAACAGGCCGTTCCAAATACAAATTTAACACACCATGAGTGCATCAGAATGGGCCGTTCTAGATTCAGAACGGCCCGTTCCGGATTCAGAACGGCCTGTTCCGGATTCAGAACGGCCCGTTTCAGAACGCCAACTTCAAGCATGCATTAACCAAAATGTCGCAATGTGATTCAAAAATTGAAAATAAAAATTCATAACATATCATAAATTCAAAGACAGAAACATGGTTCAAAAACTGAAAATAAAAATTCAGAACATAATATATACTAAAAAGTTCAAAGAAATTACTGAGAAAGGAAATCATCTGAGTAACGCTGAAGGGAAACCCTAAACCACAAAAATTCAGGTTGTACCTCCTCGTTATTATTGTTGGGGTACATCGTCAATCACTTCAGGGGGAAACATCGTTTCGTTTCATCCTTAACTGTATAGTGTCAATTTGGTAGTAAGTGGTTCACTCCAGTTTGACTAACAATGAAATAAAACCTGCTACCATTGTCCTTAGTGATACACTGCATCGTCCTTAATGACAATATTACCAAATCTAGTGTTTGAAATGCTTTGTATCTTGATTTTTTTCCTTGCATGCTGGAACCAAAACGACTCGTTCTGGTTACACTATTGTGTGTTAATTTTGCATCTGGAACGGCCCATTCCAGGTACAAAATTAACACACAAAGAGTGCAACCAGAACGGGCCGTTATAGTTTTAGAACGGGTCATTCTGGTTTTATGTGTATTCAAGAAATTTGGCATCCACCTATGCATCTACATGGCATCTACGTGGCATCCACTTGACATCCACGTGGCCAACAATTAACTCCGTTTAAATCATTTTGGATGGAAGTCCCAAATTGTAATAATTTAAATTATTATTATTATTATTATTATTATATATAAATGTCCATTCATCATGAAAAAGTCTATAATAGTACCATTAGTTTTAAAAAAATATATTGAGAAAAATATCACATACTAGCAATACAAATTTATTCGTCAGATCAAATTTTTTAAAATCGCTGCAATTGTCCCTTCTTAAATCTTATATAATTAAGTGAATATATAAGACATTTTCATTCATCTAATTAGATGGTATATTGTTATTATTATTGTAGTGTAATTATTTTAAAAAAACACAAGAATAGTGTGATTTATTTGATTTGCGTATAAATATTATTATTTCCAACTGTGAAAAACAAGGATTGATAATCTAAGCATTGAATATTCGAAAACATAAGTAGATGTATACCATAGGGTGACTTTTAAAGCCTCGAAAGGACCAACGATAAAAAATGAGTGGTTGCTGATACTTTTGCAAAAATCATACATTATCATATGCGAATATGGTAAAAGGTGCTTCCCATCAGTTGCACGTACAAGTTGCCACTTCCAATATAACTGGTCCTGTGATGTGAAGAGCACCTATAAAAAGTTAAATGAGATTGATCCTTCCAATGTTTGTAGCCAAAAGATAAATATCTTTATATTCTGGCTACCATTTAGGTCACCATCACTTGGACCAATCTTTGTCTCCCCATCACTAGAAAGTATTACAGTAACAGCAGATTCTATAATGTCTTCTTTAGTCTTTGCATAATTTGCCTGTTTGTAAAATTAATTTGATTTATGTTTTTTTATTTTAAAAGTAAATTAGTAGTAAAACTCAATTGAAATTTTTTTATCTAACTTAAAAGTTTCTTAAACTTCAACTTTAAGTCAATTTTAGACTAAAACTCAATTTCTTAACATGAAACAAAACATGAATATTTATTCAACACAAAATAGGAATGGAAAAGTAAATAAATATAATATATATATATATATATGATAGTTAATGATATTATTTGAATATTTTTTTAACTATTTATTGGTGTAAGATATCTACTTATATTATTGATGATTAATTTCTATCGAAAATCTAATTGGTTATCTTTAATAAAATCTCCACTCTTAATCATATTTTTTTCTAACTATAAAATTCAAATTCTAGATCTTATTTAAAAAAAAAAACTGAATTTAATTCCACTTGAATAAATGACAAATTCATTTTGTGATTATTTAAATATTATATTTAATATTGTATATATTTCTCCTTATTAATTTTTATACATGCATCCAAAGAAAGTACAGGAGTATCAAAATTCAATCTCAAAATTAATATATTTAAAATTTTTAAAATATTTTAAACTTTTATATATTAAACATAAATCGCTATTTTATGCGATAATGTTTTTAAAATATGTTAATCTAAATATTTTGCATAATTTTTTTAAAATTTTTATCTAATTTAATTTTTATTTATCATAATTATTTTATATATATATATATATGTCTAGATGGAGTATCACTTTAACAATTTTAATATAGTATCCTATTTATGTACTCTCTCTAGACCTATATATAAGTAACAAAAAAAAATCAATTTTACATAGAATAAAAGATATGATTAAATGCATAATTTTTATGACATCATATAAAATATACATTATATTTACTAAAATATCTTTAATTACACTTATCATAGATAATGCTCCCATTTATTATTTTAGAGATATTTTTTATTTAAGAACTTGTATTTTAATTTAATTCAAGAAATTTAAGCATTTTATTTATTTATATGTGTTCAGAGGGAGCACTATCTATTAAAAATAAATGAATACTGTATTATTTTTCACATAACAGTGATATGTAATTCTTTATTTTTTAGGAAAAAAAGGTGATATTTAATTCGATGGACTTAATTCAACGTTTTCAATTGGTAATGATAGAACGTGATTTAATTGATTGCTAATTACTATTACTCCATTAATTAACTTTAATATTTAATTTCAGGACTAATTCTTTCTCGTGAGCCTCAAAAAGGGTTAATTAAATATCATTAATTAATTTGGACAATTTTTATTGAAAATCCCCTCTCTTAATTGTTGTTGATATAGACTGTTCTTTTAACGTACTTAATGTAGTCCTACAACAAAAATTGTAGAGTAATTTGTATTTGTGTTCATCTCCCTGTCATTTCTTTTATATATTATAATTATTAATGATGGAGAGATAGACAAAAACAAAAATAATTTTGTATAATTTTTATTATTTATATAATATTATTTATTCATTAAAATTTAATTAAATCTTATAAAATTAAGATAAAAATTATTTCCACTTATATTATTATTTATTTGTTATATGTCTAATGGTATAAGCCTTAAAATTTTTCTACTATATATTATATGTTTGTCTTACCTCTAATGGTGTAAGCCTTCAATTTTTCCTACTAGGCTAATAGTGCT